GGTAAGTGGTGGAATAACTGACCTTTAAGGGCATCAACAAAGTATTATGGAAGCACTGAAGATGTTGTGCTCAAACTTAAGTGACCACTTTATTGATTTTATGACATGTTCCATGTTACATTGGTATTTACCTTCCTTCTCCTCCCCAGTTTCTGTTGGGTGTTATTGTCACCTGCAAAGACACAGTGATCCATCATTATAATTAACAACCTCTATGACTTTAAGCAGGACTGTCACAATGTTTTCACGTAGGTGCATTATGTATTGGAGTTGGTGTTGGAAGAATAGCTGGTCGAGATCATATGATGCTGATTTTCACTGGTAGGTGCTACTTTTAATTTAACAATAAAACATTGGGAAAAAATGTTGAGAAAAGTTACAAAGTTTCAATTTTGTGACGGTGTTCTGATGCTTGCTTAGCGTCATTATCAAGTCAAAGATGAATAAAAGTGTGTTTGAATATAAATGTAGCTGCTCCTTTTGGCAACCTTGTTTTTACGTTTCTTAATTTCACAGACAAATGTACCACAACACATAACATGTACATGTATATGCGGTGCCATTGTACAGATACCAGTCAGTGTAATGCCTTCTCAGTCATTTGATTGCCTGACACACCCTTCATACCTTAGTTTTAGATACGGGACTTTTAACTGAGAGCTCCTCATGCAAGGAACATTTTGAAATGCTATCAAGTGTTTTTGTAGCTTCAAGACCAGTTTAGCTTCACCCGAAGCCCCTTTCCAGTACGGTTCATTACAGTCCTTGAAAGTCCTGAACCCTGAGAGATCTTGAAATTGTTGATTTGTAAACCTTAAGTTGTCACAACAATGTTGCTGAATAAACTGACTGGATTGTTAGTTGTATGACTCGTAAAATTGCATTTCAGCGTCCAGTCCCACTCGAAAAGGCAGGTGCTACAGTCACCATTACAACTTCATCAGAGTTGATGTCCTGTACAAGCTGCTGAGCTTACCTCTCTACAGCCATCTGTTTCTGAATTATACACATATAGTTTAAGCAGTTTGCCCTCATGAGATTCTATAAGTTGAAACAGGTCCTCAGACTAAGGAAATAAAACAAATCTGAATTTCACAATGCTCTTAAAATCAATGTACCTAACTACTTAAATTTGTAAGTTATAAATTGCCAAAAATGTGTCACATTTTTTAGGCAAAATTTTATATCTGCAGGTATAGTCAATTTTTGGCTAGAGTGCACCAAAGAATGCATTAATTAGTATGATCCTTGAAATGTTTTGACTAATCATGTACAATACTCTAAACATTACAATGTAAACAAGTTGACAACATCCTTACTTCATGTAGAACTGAATCAGCTCCAATAATGTAGTCTGTATTTGATCGTAACCCAGCAATGTCTGCAGGAGAGTTTGGTTGAACTTCCTTTAGATGAAGAAAAAAATGAAAATGATCTGTTAAAGTGAAAGTGAGATCAACATCCCGAGGAAAAAAAAAATTTAATAACATGAAAGTTAATGGTTTTAGCAGCAACCTTACCAAAACATGCCAGACATTTTCATTAGCCCCTTCAAAAGAACAGAATCGAATGCTGACACCTGTAAGAAATGAAGGCGTGATCAGGAAACTACAATCTCTAACAGGATGAAATTCTACCCTTAGACAGCTGTAATCCTTCTGCAATAGCTGCGATCTTACTTGAAATCACAATCGTAATCACATTATCAAGGTACAATGGTTGGCAAAAAGCAAGGATAAGAAGAGTATTACATTTATATGAGATGTGATTGTTCTTCAATCAGTGGTCCCTTCACGTCTATGCAAAATTTCATTCTGAAACTTGGCCAAATTACTAATTTTGAGGTACCCTCTCCATTCGTATTGATTATTTTTTGATTTGTTTTATTGGTAAAAGTAAAAAAATTCGAAATGACTTCAAAGTTTGACCATAAGCAAAGGATTCACCGACTCACAAGCTCTTTTGCCAACCACAACACAGGCCACGCAAGAGTGATTATGGTGCACATGATCGAGAATGACACATGGTTGCCACCGACATCCCTTTTCAAAATTCCCTGACTTTTCCTTGCCTTTTCCCTGATAAGAATAAAATTTTCCTGACTAAAGAAATGCAAACTGTCAGGTCTAGTAGCAGCTTCTTCTTCCACTCATTCATTAAGAGTGATACTTTTCAACAAGTTTTCCTTCTTCATCAAGGAAAAATATCGTTGAGATCACAGCGATTGCAAATATTTTTTTGAGCCTTCAATGGTATTAAATCAGCCGTATTAAATTATTTCAATTTTCACTGACTTTTCTTCAAAATGACAATTTTCCATGCCTCGAAATAAAAATCCCTGACCTTGAAGAATTTTTTTCCCTGACCATTTCCTGCCCTGTGGCAACCCTGTGACACTATTGTTTATCAAAAAGAAACATTGCTGTATAGCTTACAGTAAAAAGAAAGACAGGGACGTACCTAGAAGGCCCTGTCCTCCCCACAGAGTACTTGGAGTAATACTGACCTCTGTGACACAATCAGACAGATCAAAATTTGTCATAAAAATACAATGAAAAATGTAAGCTCTGTAGAGGAATTTGCTGATACATGTAACCGGATTTAAAGTGTCAGACAGGGATGACGGAGGGATTTTATGGGGTTTGAAATTTCGATTCCTGGATTTTTCTGGGTAGGAAAATTTGACAAGTATTTTTTGGGTGGCTTGATTTTGGTAGAGATTTTTTGGGGGTTATTCAAGAGAATCTGAAGATTCACAGTAGTGCCCCAGCTGCATAGTTCTACAAATAAAGTACAACCAAACTTGTTAAAAAAGTTATGATTGTTTTAATATTTACTAATGAGTGTTACATTGGGATTAGTATTTTGGTCCAGGGTTTTGGGGGGGTTTGGTCGACAGCCCCAGGGATTTTTTTGAGTTTTGATTTTTACCCCCATTCATCATCCCCGTCACTTGAAATCCTGAGTTACAGCCTGCCCCCCTGGGTACATGTACAGTATACTCTTGTACAATAGCAGAGCATACAGAGGTACATGTACTGTAACTTCAGTTTATTATCAAGAACAACCTTGATACACAACAAATTCATACGTACCTCTAACTTTGCAGGTTTTGCTGCTAAAAACCAGCATTTTAACAGGTTTTTCTGCATTAGATTTCAAGATTTCCTTCAGTGTTTCATTATCTTGGTCCTGCAAAATTTGTGACAAAAACATCAGTTTTCATGTTCGTTTCTTGCTGAACTTAACGATGCATACACATTGTATGAAGATAGAAAGCAACCTTTGAAGTCAAAGGAAAACATCTCGTGTCAACTTCTTCCAAAGTACACTTTACAACAAGGTAAAGCACAGTCTAAGCTCTTCCATTAGTTAAACACAGCTTAGGACTTTGATGTTTTTCCAAAGCAACACAATCAACTGTCAACCAACAGCTAAATCCACAAACATTATATACGCTTAGATTGATAGTTAAGTGTACACGTAAGCTTATATTGGTCTAAATATGTTGGATTGTTACCACTTATAACAATCAGTTACATAGAAATGTACGCCTACATGCAACACAATATGATATCGATTCATTTGTTTTAAAAATAATTTGTTCTTAAGAGCGTGTTGACCGCCTCTCATGACTTACATTATTTTTAGAAGACAGCTGTTATGTTAATGCTCAACACATGAACGATTTGCAAAGTTCCACACGATCAGTTTCTATAGGTATAACTTACATTAACAAGAGCCATTGCAAGACAAGAGACGAAGAGAAAAGGAAAACAACAAGAACGTCTGGTAGCATAAATAAGTTACAAAGTCAAAAATATCAATGTGTTAACTTCTGAAACCACGAATCAAAGAAGAACACACATTGCCACGCTGCAATGTTCACCTACCAATCTTGTGTTTTCGATCGAAATGATGAAATCAAAGAAAGGTTCCAATCCTGCTTTGTACCCAGGAGAATTTTCCTGAACCTAAAACGTGGAAAGAAATATACGCCGGCTTTAGAATCACCAGCGCCGTTCAACTCCAGACAGCTTTATAACATCATTACTACACAGAGAAGCAAATTTTGTAGGCTCGTAACTCGAGTATTTTCAAATCAAGCGTGCAGATTACAGAGATCGTATATTACCCTAAGCACATGATATCCCTCTGATCCACCGCCTGGGATTTCTGCGGATTGGCCTGCTCCCATATTAAAATTGCTTTTGATATAACCTCTGCGAAGTTCCTCCACTCATTCAAGATGGCCGCCAAAATGTTGACGTGGACTTCCCCGGCAATTTCCCACAAGTCCTAGCGACGTTCAGCAAAGATTCAGTGGGGTGGAGAGGGGACAGCTTTAGCGCCCTTCAAAAGCCTTTAGCTGCCTTCCCCATAAGTATAATGAACGATTGGGATAATAAGCAGTAATTTTGTGGAGAGAGATGATTTTATTTGACGAGAAAACATGAAAACCAGTTCGGGAAAGAAGGTCTAATGGCTTCATTTTAATACAAAAACATGAAAATTTTCATTCACAACCTTTAAGTGTTTAAGGGCCCGGAATTCGTTTTTTTCTAATAATTCTTATAACTGTCATCGTTTTATCAATCAATCAATCAATCAATCTTTTTATTTGCACTCACTATTGCTCAAAATAAGAAATTACAACAATGAAAATATTAAAAGTAAAAGTTAGAGTACTAGGTGCCTGGAATAACCATAGGGGCTAGCGGAGCCAGGCAGCCAGTTAACATCAGTATAGTTAATAGAGGGGACTGGTTATGAAGCCCGGCAAACATCAAAGGAGCAAACAAAGATGCCAAGATT